GTGGTAGTGGTAGCAGCAGCAGTAGCAGTAGCAGTAGCAGTAGCAGTAGCAGTAGCAGTAGCAGTAGCAGTAGCAGTAGCAGTAGCAGTAGCAGTAGTCGTCGTCGTCGTCGTGGTGTTGGTGTTGGTGTTGGTGTTGGTGTTATTGGTGGTGGTGGTGGTGGTGGTGGTGGTAGGAAGCAGCAGGAGGAGGAGGAGCAGTGGTCGTGGTAGTGGCATTGGCATTGGTATTGATATGAAATGCGAGTATTGCTGTTCTTACTATAATCATAAATATCAGCATTTGTGTTAGCATTGCTGTTGGTGTTAGTGTTAGCAGTAGTAATGGCCCGTCGTAGTAGTAGTAGTAGTAGTCGTGGTCGTGGTGGTGGTAGTGGTAGTGGTAGTGGTAGTGGTAGTGGTAGTGGTAGTAGTAGCAGTAGTAGTAGCAGTAGTAGTAGTGGTAGTAGTAGTGGTAGTGGCGGTAGTAGTAGTCGTCGTCGTAGTAGTAGTAGTAGTAGCAGCAGCAGCAGCAGCAGAGTAGCAGCAGCAGGAGCAGGAGCAGCAGCAGTTGTGGTGGCGGTAGACAGTCGTGGTAGCAGTTGCTGTGGTGGCAATACTCGCTGTATCTGCCGAAGGCAAATCTTTCCGAACACTCCGAACTTGAAACCCGCAGAAAAAAAACACAGGTACTGTGCAGTGCTGGACCTTCGTCCAGGGTAGGCCCAAAGACCGCAAGGACGGCGGCGGTGCTTTCGCGCCCGGCAGCGAAGCGTCGAATGCTTGGGATGGTGCCTTGGTTACCTTGGGTTCCTTTCAATCAGCGGAATTCTGATAGGAATTTATGAGTTGCTTTTGTCAGGTACAGGAGTTTTCTTGGTTGGCCGAACTAGGTCGTCGTGGTCCTCGTCGTAGCCGCACTGGTAGCACTAGCTGCCGCATTGTTGGACGGACAAGAGGACTACTAGCGTTGTCTCGCTGGCCGTTGTCTCGCTGGCTGCTGCTCCCATTGGTCTACCGCGGGCGCTATTGAAGCTACTGAGCACCTGTGCTTGTGGGGCGCTAGTGGCAGCATTGGCGGTCTTCACCAAGGTGTAAGTGCAGGCCCACGCTGATGTGTTATTTGTTGTCACGTTCACGTGTCTCGGTCGCCGTCACAGCTCCACCTCTTCCTCCGGAGATTGCGTGTATTGAGTGTATTGCCAAGTGGTTCCTCTTTCGCTTCCAGCTGCTTGTGATTTCTGTAAGTTCAAGTGCATTGGTGTTGAGCTTGGTTTCGGCCAAGATCATGACCCACATTCCTGCATTAAGCGGTTCCGTTCGCACTTGTTTGTGTCCCTTTGGTGTTTTGTGTGTTTCATGTCGCGATATAGCAACTGTACTTGTCCTGATTTACATCTGCCTTACTTGTTGTTGCTTGTCCATGTCCGGCCAGTTGTTATTTCGTATGTTGAGGTTGGTCAAGATCGTGCTCGCTAATTGCCATTTTGACGTGTTCAATAATCCTTCGCTGATCAGTAGGGCTTCGGCTTCCGAATCTTTCTTCTAGTTAAGAAGTTTCTCGCCCACTTCTTGGGTGTTGGTGGCAATTGGCAATTGTGATATTGACCAGACGCTTAGCCCGCAAGAGTGGTACTGCGACCGGGAGGACCGCCAGCATGTTGTCAGCCATTTGGCGCAGTCTGGGAGTGGGATTTGCCCTTGGTCGCAGACACACCGTGGGAGAGAGACTGCCCCTAAACCCCTGAACCCCCAAAACCCCTAAAACTCCTAACAGGTCCTAACACCCCTAAACCCCTAAAGCCATGAAGCTGCAGCTCAGGTGACCCTGAGACCTTTTACGACGCATCTGCAGCCTCCGGGAGCGCTTTTTTGGGCGTTTCTGGCGGTTTTTGGTACACAAGAGATGTGCTATGCTATGCATCCGATTGCATCGTAGTATGTGTAGGGTTAGGGTTTAGAAGACGTATGTGCAACTATATTAAATACCGTATCTATAGATAGATAGACAGGTAGATAGATAGATAGACGCACGCATCCTTGCATTCATGTGATCATGTGGACATATGTTATACCTAGTGGCAAACTTCAAGCGGAGTAGCAGTTGGACATTACATAAGTGAGCCCAATCCCAAAGTACGTATGTTAGACCGAAGTGTCGTGCATTGGCGTCCTAATGAGCTCTTTCGCTTGTCACTCGTTAGTTTGCGGCGACCTACACGAAGCTTTCTATGCATGTACGGTGCAAATGTGGAGTGCTCCTGTCTTCGGCACACCGTTCTCATTCCCATCCTTTACGGTTCCATCTTGGTCGAGCAGCCTGATCCTAAGAAAGCAATAGAAACTGTGCTACTCGAAACAGAAATGCTGAAGCTTACTTGAGACCGTGATGGTGCACACACAGTGACACCGCACACAGTCCAAGAGCTTGCCAGCAACACCGGCCGATGACGAGCGGAACAATCACACAACTGCGAAAGGAGCTTCACTGCTGGAGACCTACAGCGTAGCCATACGATTGGGTCGATCCACTTCGTGGCGAGGAGAGGCGCTTCGTCTGACAAACAAGGGCCCTGCCACATTCCTGGTTGGAGGTGAAGAGGGTTCTGCGCTTGGTGCAAGGCGTTGCAATGACACACGTGAATCAGCCCCGGATTGTCTGAAAGGACAGTAGTAATTAAACGAAATGAGCAAGTGCAGTGTGACCGCTCTAGGGCATGTTGCATGTTAGATGAAGCGTCTTTAAACACAGGCAGTATCGGGACCTTTCCCGTCAGGTCCTGAATTTAATTTGTTGAGAGCAAAACGGTGAGACCACTGAGAGGTTTCACGCACAGCATGATTGGCGGCAAGTTCGAGGCAGCACCCCGTCAGAATTCAATTCGTCCTTCTTGCAGGAAGCAGCACCAACCCCAGATTGGTGCCAACTTGTGCTGCAAGCAAAGTTGGTTCCTCGTTTGTGTTGAGAGACCACCTCCCTCGGTCTGGGAAATTCTTCCGCTGCTTGGAAACAGGACATGTGGGATGATACTGGCACCGGGAATCTCACAAGCTCCAAGCGGCAATTTGACATGAGGAGGCGGCCCCAGAACGAACGCCAATCTAGGCAGCCTTGTGCGGCCAAGGAGTCTGTATGATTCCGTGTCAAGCCTGCCAAGTGCGGTTGGAGACGTCCATCCTTTTTGCGGAGAGGCCTTCCTTTAGTTCTTCCACAGGCACGGACTAGTCTTGTGCAAGTGAGAACACTCCCCCTTGTTAAATTTGCCGGTGTGTCAAGTGCAGGGGACCTCGCAACAACACGGGGCTCACTCAATTCTGACACTGGATTTCAGCCCATACGGAGCAGAAATGAGACAAGTCACATGTTTCCTTCTCTCCATCTGATCCTGCTGCAGCCCACGGCTATTCGGCAAGGCAAACAGCCTCTCGGGACCCTGGGAGCTTCTCCACACGATCATCTCCGAGCCATTGGACAACCCGCTCGTCAACAAGGTCGAGGATGCTTGCTCGCACTTAGCAAACTTATCCACAGCAACGACACGCACCCTCCTGCAGTTCGAGAGAATTGAAAAGGACACTTTGCAACAACTCGTTGGGAAGATGGGGCCTGGCAGTTTTGCTCGATGGTGCAAGGTCCAGGCTGAGCAGCCCTTTCGGTTCGTCCGCCGCGGCCTTAGATCGCGGAGAAGGATTCTGCGATTCTGAGGGCTTCAGCGCCTCGGTCCTGTGTCAAGTCGATATAGGGGTTACAGAAGTGCGAATCTTCCGCAGCGTTTTTGCTGGTGTAGTGGCTGTCATTGGCTGTCAAAAAGCCTGAATCCCAGTGCGGAGAATCCAGATCAAGGCCGGCCACGGATCAGCCTAGTCCCAGGCCTGGCGCGAAGCACCCTCGAGATCGCTCGCTCAGCGACCGCTTTTGTACGGCCGTCGCATGCGGTCACTGAAGTTCAATCAATCGACTCCTACTGTGGCGCTCCATACTAGTACCCAAGACAGTTCACATTGCATCACCTCGCTGAAAAAGCTGGTTTCCCCAACTTCAGGACACACTTTCCACATGTTAATCTTTCTGTGCCTGTACCCAGACAAGGAGACAAGGCAAGAAATCGAACCTGATCCAGCACCGACTGCTTGACTCGGCACCCTGCCGTGATCCCCACAAGTGTTGCGGGCTCGCTACAGTTGGAAAGTATGCGATAGTGTTCCTGCCTTCCTGCCATACTGCTAGTACATTTGCATGATCACGGTAGTGGCGTCTGTTTCATGACATCCATCATCCCTACCTCGATTCAGAGGTGTGGAGATTGAGACTTTGCCTTCCATGTTGGGCTCACGATTGTCACGTTTTAGCTTTCCAGCATTTTCATTTTCCGTGAGTACACTGGACCCGGATTCTCGCCTGAGGCTACCTGAGTCCTGAAGGAGGCCACTGCACCATTGCATCCATTCGGGTCTATGCAGCATGAATCCATGACCGCAAGCCGCATCCCGACTACTTAGCATATCGGTTTTCAGTTTCAAGTCGTAAAGGGCAAAGCGCATCTGAAGAAAATTGGAACTGGAGCTTGGGGCATCGGGGGTGAGGCCTGGAGATATCGCCCCCCAATTGATTAATTGCTTCAACGGAAACTTAAGTTGTGTTCCACAACCTCAAGCTCCAATTCGCAGCAGATGTACAAAAAAGCAATCTGCAAAGCTGTACAGGCGCAGATGTAGTTTCACCCGGTACAGTCATGTCTCGGTCCAAGGACCAATCACATGGGCAGCGGGTTGAGATCAGACTGAGCCACGCGGAAAAGCATGGAGCTTCCGGTGACCTTGGTAGGAATTGGGCAAACACAAACAATACCGGAAGTGTTCTCGTGTTGCTCCTGTCAACGAGACCTTGGGTGGATGTGGTGGACGGATGCATGGACAATCATGGACACTTGCGCCGCAAACGGGCTTTGGCATTTTGCGGATTCTGGCGTTTTCAAGTGGGCAGAAGGCTAGGGGTTGTTGTACGGGGGTTCTTGCGTGGTTGACCGTAGGCAGGCTGCAGTTTTCGTTGCAGGCCCCCGCAGCCGGAGCTTGCTGTTTTTGGGGGATGTGCCCACAGGCGGGCAGCGGAGCCTGAGCATACAAAACCAATGCCAACGAGTACAAGTTACATTGGTGGCCGCCGCATTTTCGGCCCTCATGTCGTAAGCCACGGAGCCACAAAAACTAGTTTTATCGTCTATCTATTTTTTTCAGAGCCATAGCCGAACCCCAGTCAAATCACAATTATATCAGAGTCGGAGCACGGCTTCGCAACCGAAAACTGTCTATTCATTTACTTTAGACTGGATCTTAGCCAAATCAAACACCTTTTTTGAATCGAATCAAAATCGAACTTATAATTCCCAACCCAATTATATTATAACCAATCGTAGCCATGACAGGCACGCGACAACCGAATCCCAGTCACTTTAGAACCGGATCATAGCTTCCGAGAAATCGCCGATCTTTCTTTCAAGCTCGGGCAGCCGAATCACAACATTTTTTATTATTTTGCTTGATATGGTCTCATTGATGGAATCACAGGTCTTATCGCACCCATAAGACATCCGAATTATAATCTTTTGTTGTTGTTGTTGTTGAGGCACCCA